AATATGGCAGCTTTAAAATCGGTTATGTAATATTAACAAAAAAAGGTTCATACATATTTTTGGCCATTCATAGTACATAGAATGTATACTTGCATGACATACATGCATGGGAACATTAAACATCATAAAAGGGATTTATGTGATCAAATTCTAATTTAATATGGTCAGATCTTTTCCTAATGTTGTAAGCAGAAGACAAAAGACACACTTCTTTTTAAGGCATTTATTCATGAAATACACACTTTAAAAATTTCAACAAAATCTTCCATAAAATTGTAAGAAACTCCAGCCCAGTTTAAACAAAACTCCTTTGTGTGACTATGGAAACCATGTGCAATAAATAACCATTATGCCAGAAAAAAAAAGAGACAAGAAAAGGGACACTATTAAATGTCAATATTTTACCACTAAAATAATCTTAGCTGTTACAAAAAGAAAAAAAAATATTGTGAGGAAAACAATGTGCTATGTATGAAACATTAGTGTGAATTGAGCCAAGCAGGCACCCGTAGAATCAGAGGAATGAGAACTGTATGGACTCTATCTGTGACCTGAGCACCTAACGAACAGATATAAATCGAATGAAGCTTCCAGAGCTGAAACCAAGAACCATCTGAGAGACATATATTGCACATTTTTTTCCTTGGATACATAACGATCGTTCCGCACGACCCAATCTGAATGCTTTTTCCCAGTCCCACCACAACCTTAAAATGAATTTACAGCTTCTTTTATACACAAGCGCATACATGGATAAGACTATATGCTGAATGACAGAGAAGGAAAAGGGTTATAATGCTTAAGTGATACTAGTTCATCATGTTCGAGTCCTGTATATATCAATCAAAGCATGTACAGATGAAGACAGATGAGAAGCGGCAAATCTCAACATGTTTTATATTTCAGATCACTTCAGTCTTTACAGTATAAATAAATAGCATTTAATGGGAGGAAATAGTTTGGACAGAGAATTGTGATACATATATATGGCTCATTTGGAGGTGCCACCATGAAGATTGGTTTCCTAAAATCATTCTTCAAAACAACAAAAATCCAAATACAATACACAGACTTCGAATAATTGCGAAAACTGGTTGGCCAAACAAGCTCCTGCTGCCAATTAAGACAGATTTCTTACAGGGATGTTGCAATGCTTTTAACTGACAGCAAACAATACCCATAGTGACATACCTGGCAACCACTGGCCAATGAGGCTGACAATCAATGCAACCCCAAAACTGGCCCATCATAGTAGCTCACTCAATGCAACCTTAGAAAAGCCGCCTGCTGAAACCCTATTAGAGCGGGTTTGTGGTTTCTGTGTCGGCCTCATAGTCTGATTTTACAGACTCTCAGACCTTAATGCAGAGTGCTCTTTAAACACACTGCTCTAGTGAGAATACAATCACAGCAGATGACTCAGAGGAGAGACAATCCAGACTCTAGAGAGTGACTGGAGAGAGATGATGTACAGAATGAGAAATAAACCGAAATGGTGCCCGTTTAGGGCTGCTGTACGCTTTTCAAAAGACAATAAATAAGAAGTGCTTTCCAGCGCAGCTGAAATCTCACACGATGGAGAAAAGTATAGTTTTTATTTTTTGGGGAAATGTTTTCTGTTGTTAAAATTCACAAAGAGGGGAATCGTGAGAACATGTCTAGGTCAAATTTCACTCCAAAATCAAAAGTTAAAAAAAAAGAAAGAAAATAAATTATATTTTACATGTAGAAAATCAACACTTTTCTTGGACCATTAACGGGATCGTTCACCCAAAAATGAAAATGCTGTCATCATTTACTCACCCGCTAGTTGTTCCAAACCTGTATGAGTTTCTTTCCTCTGTTGAATATAAAGGAAGATATTTTGAAGAATGTTGGTAACCAAACAGTTTCTGGCTTACACTGTATGGAAAAAGAAAAGAAAAACACTATGGAAGTCAATGGCTACCAGCAATTGAAAAAGAAATGCATACAGGTTTGTAAAAACATGAGGAAGAGTAAATGACGAGAACATTTTTGAGTGAACTCTCCCTTTAAAGTTTGTTTCATTATGACATTATTTTTTCATGAGAATTAAGCTAAACTTGCCCCCAAATGATCATTTTTATAACACATCAAGACCATTTTACGTTTTTTTTTTTTTTATTAAAGTAATGAGATATTTTTGCATTACATTAATGACAATTGGAGGAAAATGTATTTTATTGTTAAAAACATCACACTGGTAATAATTTCTTTTTTTTAGATTTGGGGTGAAATACGACAGATATGTTACAGATCATTTCCTGAGATTCACCTAAGGATCATCCTCTGATATCATCTCTACATCTCCAGATTTGTAGCTCAGCCTCGAATTTCAAAGTCAGTCACGGAGCACCATTGTCGCAGGGCCACACGCTGCCAAAAAAACTAGCAAACGGAAATAAGAAGACCAGTCTCCAGTCTTGGCAACTGCTGTCTGCACACAGCCCACAGCTTCTAACGCAGTAAAGCAGGTCTCTAGTAAGCTTCTTACAGCCTGCCTGTCAAGTGAAGTAGCGCTGATGTCTGAATGCAAGCCTGATAACATGGCCCGAGCATCGATCCATCCCAATACTGCTAACACACCTCTCAAGCACTATGAGGCCCTGGGAGAGTGGAACTGTGTGGTGATTTAAACAATACTACAGCAAAAAACCCTGTCTTCCGACTTGCCTTCATCGCCAAAAAATGGAACAACCACATAGAGATTTGTGACAGAGGTTTAACAATATATAACAAGTTGCCATGTTCAAATCCTGGGATGATCGAGCAAAGCTGTGGAAATGATGTACGATAGGTCTTTACTCTAAATGCCAGTGATCTTTATGATGGCAGATGACAATGATGGTGTTATTTTGCCATTTGAGACTTATTCAGAGTTTCTTAGGACAGCAGTAAATGAAAATTCATGAATCCACACCCAACTTCCCTATAAGACAGGCTGTAAAAACAAGTTTCACAAGACCTGAGAGCACCAAACGTCAAAAAAGCTAGGTATGGTAAATACGGGTATTTTAAGACTCACCCCCGGTCTGCACCATGTTTAGTTCAGTTTATTTTTAAAAGATACAAAACATTAGCACCAGTTGTTGGCTCAAATGTGAGAAACACCAGTGAACACCAGCCTTCACCATGGCAATGACCCACCCCAGTGTTTGCCATGGCAACGACCTCAACAACCCTACAAAAATATGTCACGAGTATCAGAAACGCATTACATAAAAACAGTAAAATCATGCATCTGTTGCATTTTCATCACCAGGAATAAACCTGCAGTCTGTGTTTGGAATGCTAGCCATATAAATGTTTGCATGAAATGGCTGATACATACAAGAACGCAATATTTAAACCATCATGGCATCATCCTCTTTACAAGAACATATCGGTGATGCAATAAAGCCAAACAATATGCAGTGAAGCTGAAGACAGAATGCATACCAAGATAATTCACATTATAAGACAATGAAAAAAGACTCACGGGCAGATGAAACATTGTTTCTATGCAAGACTGCAGTATCCGATAAACAAAACATCAGTATTTGTGGAATAACTTAATGATGAGATCCAGAAAGATTTGGTCAAGCTGGTTTGGCATTTACCCGTGTAAAAGTTGACTGCTATAGGAGATGATGCAGGTCTGCTCATTGTTTCAAAGTAAAAATTTTTTGTTTCAAAGTAAAAACTTTTTAAGTAAATGTTTGGATATAAAAAGTCAAATAGCACTTTAAGAAAGGTTTCAAATACATTTAGGTTAGAAATCTGATAAGAGCCCTTTAATGTTTAATCAACTAGAGGCAGTGTGTCTGCCAACTTCCACAATGGAAATATAAATTACTAGAACTCATTTAGGGCTCACAAAAAAAAGAAAACAATCCATTTCAACAACTAGCCAATTTTCACTAACCTAACCAGAAAAATCATAAATATAAAACTCTGATCTTATCATATTCCTCTATATTAAATCAGTTAAGGTCAAACGCTGTTCGCATTCTGCCATTCATGCAGCTTGCCATCCGGAATAGAGTGAAGTCAGGAGGGAGTATGAAGCCTTTGGCACTAAAGACAGTGATAAAACAAATAACTGTACAATACATATGGACGGTTACTTTTGGGTTACATTCATACTGTGGAGGAGCGGAGAACTGACATCATGTCATCGTAAGGAAGGACTGAATGTTTCATCTTTTTTTCTCAATTAAAAGGTAATGCACTGCATATGTGACATTGAGGCTGTGGGATTATATGACAGGACATACATGTATATGAGGGGTTGGCTGTTTATGAAAGTAAGTTAAAGATATTAACATATTAAGGATTCATTCTTACACATCCTTAATGATTCTAGAGCTGCAAGTTAACACTTGGGAGGTTCAAATGATTAAAAGCAACTTTCCTGTTCAGAAATCGATTTTTAATCACTGATGCATTTAATTAAACACTTAAAAATCCTCCTAAATTAAAGAGGACCAAAACATAAGCTTTTTGCATCATAAAAGGCTGCACACTGAAAAAAGATGTACTGATAGGGTGAATTTCATAACTCTTGTCCAGTTGCTTGGGTCATATTTTACCCCAAAATCTAATGAAAAAAGAGGGAAAAAAAATAAATATTTATACATGTTTTGTAAAATAATTTGATAAAATAATAATAATAATGAATATTATTATAGTTCATTTATTACATTATATTAAAGAAAAAGTAGTTTGTTTTTATAACCATTAAGATTTTTGTGACGATATTTTCTTAATTAAACATTCTCTAAAACTTCTCATTACTGCAATGCAAATACAAAAAAGCTTTTTTTTATATAAAAAAAAATGTAAAATGTGATTTTTAAATTGTATTTATACATCACAGATGCATAGACTGTATTGACTTTAAGATGTGCTGTAAATAATGATAATAAAAAGCTGAATTTCATTTTTTTTACTGTAATACATTTTTACTGTATTATAGTAATGAGAATCTGCATTGAGAAAAATTAAAATCACAAAAACATAATTCATAATGCATCTGTATGTTTTATGACAATGACTGAATGTGGGTGGGGGATTTGTGTAATTATGAAAATAATGGCAAAACAAATCTTAATGGTCCCAAAACCAAGCTTCATTTTCTTTAAGCAAAATACAATTTCTTTTCCTTCTTTTTTTTTCTTTTGATTTTGAGGTGAAAATATTTTGTGAAATTCACCCAATTTGCAATCTGCCTTGCATTTAGCTGAATATTTATGTCTTTTCCATGTAGCCACATAAACACAGGCCAAAATATAGCACTTTTGGAAAACCACTCTAAACGGTCTCTATTTTTCTAGCCTTTTAGTCTTTCACACACACTTTCATTATTCATCCTTTCACTCCATCAACAACTTTTATATACAATATTGGTAAATAGAACATAAATACTACACATAAATTTGCCTATTCACAATTCCACTCGTAGCGACGTCGGAAAGTACAGAAAGAAACCGCTCTGAAATAATATACTCATATAAACTGCTTTATATAAGCTTAGAAAGGCTCTGAGCTCCAGTTAGGTATGACCTGAGAGAGAGTGGTCAGTTTGAAACACCTCCTCTCTTCTGGTTAGCAGTGTAAAAGTGGACACTTCCACGGAGGACAGCAGACACCGAGCACCATCTTTTTGCCCATAATTGAAGTGGGAACAAAGTCCAAAAGTTAAAAAAAAATGTTAAACCTTTTTTATTTGTCTTTTTTTTTTTTTTATAGTGTAAACAGTGCACCAATTGGGTCTTGGTTCCACTTCTCTCAACTATACAAAAGTATAAATATATGCTTTCTCTCAATTTTTCACATATCTAGGACATATAGCGGACGAACAGACAGAAAAAAACGGTTGTTCCCGTAAGTCGTCAGTGTCGCAGTGGCTGTGCTGGTTTTGTTGTTTGCTGGCTCATATCCGTGTTTGTTTGGTGTGGGCGTTGATGGTCTATGCATATATAGCACGTAGCACAGTCCTCAGCCACTGGGCCAAAACAACCAAGCGTTTTTGTCCAACTACAGCAGATCCATTTTGGGTCTGTAATGAAGGAGGAGGGGGGATTTCTGGAACGCACACAAAACACACAAGCATTCGTATGACTGAAAGTCATAGAGCCACTAGAATGAAAACAAAGGCACAGAAAGTCAAACGCATCTATACAACACAAAGACAATTTCATAACTTCACATACTCTATTTGATTATGCATGCATAAAAATTATGCAGAGTATCCATGCATGTATAGAAAGTGACATGCACATCAATACGGCAAATGGGAAGACTAAAGCCAGGCTAATCTATAACAAGCATTCATGAATGCACGCAAATTTATCATTAATTACCTTAAATCTCCATCTTGTTACCACAACAAATTTCAAAGTATGGTCCTTGCCCAAGATTTCTTCATTGCATAAGATGTCCAGCTGAAAGTAAGCACACAAATATAGCAAACAAACCCCCAAAAAATATACCATACGAGAGAAGTCTAAACAAATCTACGCTTTCCGTGATCTTTCAGTACCATTAAATAAGTCAGCTGATCATTAGCGCACAATAAACTGAATATGGCCCTTATTAGGGATGGGTCTGGATGGTCAGATAGATGACTGCTGGATGACTAGTTGGCCATGCGGAAAGATCCCCAGTGAGTATATCTTGATTATTTTTAAGTTTTAACATTTTTAGCACCTTCAGACTTCCTGGAGAAGTTTTTAGCGTGTTTACAACTTTAGTGTAACAATTACAGGAATCAAATTGAATCCACCGCCTCAAGTTAACGCCTACGTTTTTAAGATGATGTGTCAAGTTAAATACATTTAAAACTTAAAAAATGCATCTCAAGACCTTACACCCCACAGTCTAGTTGATTTTTAAAACATCTAGTTTTGCACAGATACTCCAACATATTACACAGCTAATCACCAAATAAACAAACACTCACTCTCTCTCTCTCTCTCTCTATATATATATATATATATATATATATATATATATATATATATATATATATATATATATATATATATATACATACACATACACATACTTTTACATTATTTTTTACTCTTATGAGTGATTTTTTTATTAAATTTACAATATAAAAATATTTTATTCACACCTAAATATGTAGAACATAAATAGGACAATGCTCAAGTATACAGTTTATCAGCCATTACACAAAAATATGAGTAGAGAATGCTGCAACTGAGCAATCAGAATAAAGTATTCCAGAGAACCGCATAATCAATTGTGCACGAACGTCTCTGGGGACAGGTGGGATTTTATGGTGCTTTACAGAAGAGTGACAGTCCTTTGTGCACTCAAAACATTCAGTTCCACCTATTATTCAAGCCAAAACAAAAGACGCAAAACCTTTAATGCACAAGAGCAGCCATAACCGTCCAGAGTATTATGTGTATCACAGTATAAGGGATGCTGCTCTCGCTGGAATAGTGTGCATTGAAACACCAGTGCCGGTGTCTGTGTGTTTTGGCTCGCTGTGAGTCGAACGACAGCAGTACAACCACAGCAACACCTGCTGGAGGCCATGAGCTCTCGGCACTATTCAGAGTTTAAAGCCATCTAGGATGCGAGCCAGGGATGTTCAGAGACAGAAACGTCTGACAGTGAAACAATGAAACGTTTGGTGCTTATTAGAATTTAGTTCTTCAAAGATTTTGCTTTTCTCCTGCACTTCAAAGCAGAGTCACTACACAAACCGCTGCCATTTCGGAGTCGTATTTTTTATTTGCTTCGAAGTGGTATTGTGCTGTTGCCAGCTATAACTCTCGATACTTGCGGAGAACACCAGGCATCTGACAGTATTATTGCGGGGGAAAGTTTTTGACGGATGTGTGCGGTGGAATAGCCCAAATATTTCTAACACAAAGTAGAAAAAAAAACGGAGATGGAGCAGCAGTAATTAGTCAAGTTTTGTGTTAAATTGCACTATGAGATGTTGGCAGGCTGCAAGATACATGACAGAGAGCAAATGATATTACAGGCTATTATTTGTCTCTGAAAATATGAGGCATGCTGAAAGCTTTGTGAGAATCGTGACAGCGCGGAGGAGCTTTGAAATCCGTGTGGTGACTCACGCAAGAGCCATTGTCATGAAGTGAATGCCGATGCTAGCCGGCGTGGTGGCAAAGGTCTCTAACGAGTTAACTTCAACCGAGGGAAAAGGAAGATAATGGGTTTTGTCTCGAACTTCGCTCGCTGCATGAGGGCCTACGGAGCTTCAGGTCTGGCGGATCACATACCTCATTGAAAGATGTCAGGTTTAGCTTTTTTGCGATGAACTTCTTGAGGTGGAGAACGGTCGCCTGAGCCGAACAACGAATCCACTTCCGCTTGAGGCCTCTGAGCTTACTGCTGTTACACTCCAGACAGATACTCACCTGAACAGACAAAAGCAAGAGAGACTGTGACTTAGCTTTAGCTTAACTACATTGTGTGAACAAGAACATTCAACAATTACCTTCTAGGCTCAAACTAAATATCAGATACCACGTAGAGCCTCACAAAAGAGAGAGAGAGAGAGAGAGAGAGAGAGAGAGAGAGAGAGTGAGTTTGACTTAGCACTGATAATCACATGGATGATTTAGGGTAACTGCATTGTGTGAACAAGAAAATTCAACAAATACTGAAGCTTAACATGTTTTGCAATGTTTGAATCCATTCCGTCTAGGCTCAGACTAAATATCAGATACCATGTAGAGCTTCACAAAATATGTAAAAACATGATATTTCAGGTACTAAACCTACTAAACTGGTAGAATGATCTTCTTTTTGCTTTGTTAGCCCTGTACTGTACTATTTGTATAAAGTTTGCATTGCTTATTGTGAGGACTATTCTACATATGTGTCACCACATGGAATTTGACAAAGAAAACTTTAAGCATTCTTGATGAATGTGGCATCCTAGATAAATGATGCTGCGAGAAAATGTGAGTGACAACTGATTTTTTTAGCAGACATTTTGTACATCTTTGATTTGAATCACTTTACAGTACCATTCAAAAGTTTGGAGCTAGAACGATTAGATATGGATCAGCAAGGAAATTGAACAAAATTGGCAATAAAGACATTTTGAATGTAACTAAATCTGCTTCAAATAAATGTATGTGTGTGTGTGTGTGTGTGTGATTACTGGGTCATTACTGCACGGCCGGAGCTGCTATGCTCACCGCAAACAGTCACACAAATGACTAACGCTGAACTCACTCAACCAATTAAACCTCCAGACCCCAGAACGACTGTAAGAGAGGCCTTTTATTTTACCATTGAATATCCTTCCTTCCTAGAGATGTCGTGAGATGTTGATTATTGTGATTTAAAATCTAATTCTACAAGGGTAGATATTTTGGTTTGTTTGGGGAATCACCACAGGATGGTATCTATCACACACTCGCCATGTTATTATAAGCCCATATTCAGACGTCATTTTAAAAAGGCTGTATTTTACACTTGGGAGTATTTTATTTTCCCCCCAGAACTAATCTAAGGTTTGTTGAACCAAAATCCACCAAGATTTTGAAAATCCAAAAAGTCAATTTAATTTCAGATGTCCATTTTCTATATTCTCTCTATCCCCTTCAAATTAAATTGGCTCTTTGTAATCTATTTTACAGGCAACTGGTGATCTTCAATATGAGAATGAATCATTCTTATGAGTCATATCTTTTCAGTGATTCCTGTGGTCTGAATGATACAAATTGGACTGATTTGGTCCTAGTGGTCCTTCAGAGACTCACTGAACTCTTTTGGAGACGTCAGACTTGGAATAATTTCGATTAACAACATGCAACGTGGTGACAATTATATGAGGACCAAAAGTAACCACTGAAAATTATTTAAATGATCAATCATTTCATAATTAAAGATAAAATTATAAATGTAATGCAAGATAAATATGCTTTTAATTAGTTAAATGGAGAAAAATCATTTAAAATGAACAATTTCAAACCTTTAATTTAAGACCGATGCAGGTTGTCTATTAGCAGTGGAGTGTAACGTTCTGTAGCAATAGTACAAAATAAACCTTTACTGTGAATCGTTTGGTCTGAATGATTCTTTCACAATTTGGGCTGAATTGGTCCTGGTGCTTCTGAAGTAAACAATTCAGAGACTCACTAAACTGACTCTTTTGGACAAGTCAGATTTGCAATGATCTCAATTAACAACATCCATCAAGTGATGATGATTGTCTGAGGACCAAAAATAACCACTAAACCACCAATTTATGCACAGATTGTTAAAGACATACTGCTCAAAAGATCCAGTTTGCAGAATTCCCATTATTAAAGGCAATCCTATGATGTACTTCAGTTCAAAATGGTGGATGAAGCAAGATAAATATGCTTATTCAATGAAATGTATGAGCATTTTAGTCAGGTTTTTTTAGTCATTCTGTATAATGGTTAAACTGAATTAAAAAAATTCTCAAAATTATAATCGTAAAGATTGTTGTCATTTGAGAAATTTACTTTTCCAAACTTGTCCTGTTTTTGTTTATTCAATGAAATGTATGAGCATTTTAGTCAGGTTTTTTAGTCATTCTGTATAATGGTTAAACTGAATTAAAAAAAAATTCTCAAAATTATAATCGTAAAGATTGTTGTCATTTGAGAAATTTACTTTTGAATTTCAGGTATTGCTCCAGTAAGCACAAATCAATAGAATGTGGACACATACATGGTGTATTTGACCTCAACTTTTGAATTTTTGCTATTGCTCCAGTAAGCACAAATCAATAGAATGTGGACACATACATGGTGTATTTGACCTCATCTAGTGTACTGATTAATTATAGGCTTTTTATTATATAAATCAACAGCAAAGACTTATGCAATATCTCTGTCTACATTATGAAAACAGCTAAAAAAAAAAAAAAAGGAAAAATATTATAACGATTGAAATGACTGAAAATATTGAAATCCTAGTAATTCCACTAATTCCATAATTGCAAATCTATTTCTCTATTACAACAACAGCGATTGAGTAAGTGTATTTATTCAGCTATCACAATCGCAAACAATATAGTGAGATCATATGACAGAACACAGACCGTTTTTAGTCTCGTCTTATTTTGTCAACGAAATTGCATGTTGATATAGTCATAGTTATCATTTATTGACCTTATTGTCGTCTCGTCTTAGTCATGGGAAAAAAGCTCGTCAACTAACATTTTTCGCCATAGTCTTAGTTAACGAAATTAACACTATACTGTACATTACTGTTTTTCCTCTATGCCCTCTAAAACACTGAAATGGCTCGGCATTAAAATCTGAACACAGACTGGATATTACAGAAAGGGGCAGATCATTTGACATATTGACATTATTTTAAATGGAACACTAGAATACCGCACTGAAAACTGCTGTTTTTTTTGTGTGTGTGTGTGTGTGTGTGTTTTTTAAATATAAAGGTAAATGCATTATGCAATGATAATAGTAAACAGTATTGTGCTACACATGACCTCATTATGTGCATATTTAATTCAAAATTAATCTAAAAAAATAAATATGAAATAAATATAAAATTGCAACATTTTAAAATAAATAATTCGATTTTAAAATATATTAAATAAGAAAAGAGATCTTAAACTTGTAATAATATTTTGCAATATTACTATTTTTATGGCTTTTTGTCAGCCTTGGTGAACAGCGTCTTCTTTTACAAAATATTTATGAAATTTTGTGCAAAAAATGTCTCGAAATGAAAAAAAAAAAAGTTAAAAGTTGATATAATTGGTTCATTCATCACTCTAAAAATGGAAACTGGTCATATTGAGCAGACTGCATTATGGGATATGTTATTCTATGCTGGGTCTGCTCTTGTAAACTGGGAAATATATGTCATCCATGTATTCCAAAGTACTGTACACTGCAGAAATAGACTAGTACAGCAGTACTGTATGATATTCCAAACATAGCCCTTACGCGTTCTTACTAACTAGGTCATTCTAACAGAGTGTGAGGCTCCCTTGTGGGACATTAGCAAGGTCAGATGGGTACGGGGAAACCTACCTGCTCATCACTGCGATGGTAGTCATTGTCCTCCTCTGCTTTCTCATCTCCTGCTTCCTTGTTGGCTGGATCTTCTGATTTCAAGTCACCTGGTGGGGTAAAATGTAAAAAAACAAAAAAAATTATAACAAGACAGTCCCCAGACAACCATAAGAACCACCTTTTTTGTGCACATCCATCTCTCCATAATTCTGCTTTCAAACTACTGTAGAAATAAAAGCACGGGCATTTATCTTTCCAAACATCATCTTCGCATTTTAAAACAACAAGTTTATCATAGTTCGTATTAAGATACTAAGAATTTGTAATTCATTGCTTCTCAGAGCTGGAATTATATTGAGTACTAGTTTGTGAGTCTGGGAAGAGTTTCTTCATTATATAGTGAAGAAACATTCATCAAACACAAAAAAAGCAATTATCTCAAGCTGCTCCCCCACGCATTCGCCAAACTCCAAAACAAGTCTGCACCTCATCAATGGAAACAGATTAATTTGTGATTCAACCTGCCCAAAGAACGCATCTCACTGCCCACTGATCAGATCAGACACTAGGGCTGCATCTCATTACAGATTTATGGAAGCATAAAAATACTCTTTTTTTTTTAATTAATATTGATAAGTGGGATCCAATGTAACCTACACTACCATTCAAAAGTTTGGGGTCAGTAAGATTTAATATTTTTTAAGAAAATCAATACTTTTATTCAGCAAAATGCATTAAAGGGGTCATATGATGCGATTTCAATTTTTCCTTTCTCTTTGGAGTGTTACAAGCTCTTGGTGCATAAAGAAGATCTGTAAAGTTGCAAACACTAAAGTCTCAAAACCAAAGAGATATTCTTTATAAAAGTTAACCATGCCTACCTAAAACGGCTCGTTCTAACACGCCCCCACATACCTACGTCACGATCTGGGAAGATTTGCATAACGCCGCCCAAATGTTCACGCAAAGAAAGAAGGCGTAACTTTTATTCTCGCTGTAGTATTGTTGAACCTGCAGCCATGTCGTGAAGACGCTGTGTGCTTCGTTGTGAAAGCGAAACTACTTTGTTTGGTCTTCCAAAAGAGGAC